CCTGGCCGCCGGCCCCGGCCCCGGGGTACCTGGGTGGGCGTCAGCACTTTGCCCAGCTCGTCCACCTCCACCCCCGTGTAGGACACCCGCAGCGGGTGCTGGGGCCGCTCGTCCACTTCCTGCAGGCTCAAAGGCCCGGACCACTTGCTGAGGTCGGCAGGCATGGCGGGGCTGCGGGCGGACTCGGCCGAGGGCGCAGCGCGAGGACACGCGTGGAGCAACCGCACGGACTCCGGGCGGTCAGCGACGCCAGCGGCAGCGCGCGTGCGCACGAGCGACCGCGCCGCGCCGCCCCCTCCCCTTCCCCGCCTTCTTCTCCAATCACCCGAGAGGGCCCGCCCACTTGCTCTCTGATTGGTGGAACCTGGTAGCCCGGGGCAACTGGTACTTCCGGGTCAAGGCCATTTGCTACGAGTTGTCCCTGAGTTCTCTGTGTGCGAGAAATCTCCAGAAAGGCGACTGAGCTCCCTATTGCTTCATCCGGTTCACTTTCTTGTTTTTGCTTCAACTCGGGGCCTGGGCGCTGTCTCTGTGCTCTTTTGCGCAAGGCTAGCGCTCTACCGCTTCAGCTAGGGCTCCACCTCCAGTTTTCTGGTGGTTTATTGGAGGTAAGAGCCTCATGGACTTTCCTGCTCGGGCTGGCTTCGAACCGCGATCCTCAGATCTCAGCCTCCTGAGTAGCTGGGACTACAGACGTGAGTCATCGGCGCCCGGCCCGTTTTAACTTTTTTGCATGAATCATTGCACCAGTGTCTTAATTTATAAATGGTGAGGCCTTGCTCTTGCCTTACACCTCTTAAGACGAGTTGAGTCCTCACTTCCTTGTTTTTTCAGTTTTGGGAAACTGCCGGCGAGCTTTTGAGCGCTTTCTCCATGGATGAGATATTTACATATCCTCGCTTGCCCACCTCCTTGATGCACATACCATTTTTTAAAATTAGAGACTTATTCATTTCATTATTTTCAGGTTCTGGAGCACACACTGAAAGGAGCAGATGAAATGTACACATCGTTATTGCTAGAAGGTGAAAAATACAAATCCGTCCTTGCACAAACAGGAAATTTTTTAATGTACATTTTTATTTTTAAGTCAGCAACTTATCCTTTATGTCCTAAGTAGTTTATTTTAGCATTGGAATGTAAACTTCTCAACAACTATACTTTTGTCTGTAGGAAGTGTAGAACAAGAAGAAAATAAATGGAAAGTGAAGGTTGATGAATTACAAAAGACTATTAAGCAGGTGTTTTAAGAAGTGCTTAGAACAACAGTTTCCTCAAATGTGGGGCCCAGACCGGCAGAACCAGCATCACCTAGAAATGTGTGAGGAATATACACTTTTAGCCTCACCCCAAACTTACTGATCTGAAACATATGGGCAATCTAGTTCAATGATCCTTCCAGGTATTTTAATATCGATCATAGTTGATATGACCCATGCCTCTAATCCTAGCTGCTCAGGAGGCTGAGATCTGAGGAACAAGGTTTGAAGCCAGTCATGGCAGAAACATCTGTGAGATTCTTGTCTCCAGTTAACTATTAAAAAGCCAGAAGTGGAGCTGTGACTCAGAGCTCTATCCTTGAGAGAGAAAAACAAAAACAAAACCTCAGATAAGCATTCTGGCCCTGACACTCACCATTCTTGAGAAATAATTTTTTTTTTTTGGGTCCGGTTGTGGGGCCTGAACTCTGGGCCTGGGCGCTGTCCCTCAGCTCTTC